CCCCTCCCCCCCCATATGTACAGCAACTCTAGCAACAGTCAGCCAGCCAGGCAGGCACCTACCTTCCGAACGGCCCCAGACAGACAGACAGACAGATGACATCCACCCCCACACGCTTGCAGCAGATCTGCTATCTATCGACCTGGCCGCGATGCTGCATGCCTTCCTTCCCTCCCGAAGGACCCACCACCTTTGCAAGCCACCCTTGCTGCACTCAGACTGCACCCGGCCATCCCACCCGTCCAGCAGGCTAGCTAGCTACGTGTTTGCTGGCTGCGCTATATATCGTGAGTGCTACAGTCAGTGAGTCAGTCGGCGTTCTTGTCGTCCCTGTTGTCGTCCTTGAACAAGTGTGCGTTGACGACATCTGTGACGGCACTCATCAGGCGGAAGTTTGTGGGGTTTTTGTCCAGCCACCGCAGTATCAGGGCCACCTGCGGATGGCCATTCCATACCAAACCACAGCCAGAGACTAGTACTTGTTTCTATACCCAATGAATGCGAGCCGCTCGCCTTTGTCTGCTTGGCTTGGTTACTTACCCCTTCTGGCAGGTTGAGTTGTGGGTCTTGTGGCTCAGCTATCAGCTGCTGCACAGACGGCAACTGATTGATGTCAGACACAGAGACAGACAGACAGGTGGTCATGATCGGTCTCGTCCCCTGACTCCCTCACTCACCCGCAGCACGTAGAGTCTGAAGACGTTGGTGGCGAGCTTCTTGCGCTCCACCTGGAGATCGCCAAAACTAAAGGCACACACACATGTCACACACACACATACACATACACATACACATACACACGCGCACAGTGCCCAGGTGTGGGCCGTCCGTCTCTGTGATGTCCTCACCCACCCGACAAACGCCCGGATGATGTCCCCGATGCAGCCGAATGTGTCTTGGCTCGATATGCAGATGTCCGACTTGGCGTGCTTGAGAAGCAAATCACACACCGTCGACACGATCGATTTGTCGCACGCAACCTGCAACAACCAGCACACATACAGAGAGAGAGAGAGAGAAATCATCATCACATCACAGCCAGGCTGCGTGCGTGCGTGCGTGCCTTATCGTCTCTGCGTGCGATGTTGGATGTGATTGAAATGCAGTCCATCAGCGCGCCTCCCCAGAACTTCTGCACACGCATCATTTGCTCGTTGCGTACCAGACCCATCACCGCAGGCACGAAGCCCGCAGCCACCACGGCACGCAGACACTCATCTGGCAGTCCTACTACACAAATGACACACACACACACACACACACACACATACGCACGACCAGACACGAAAATGGAGCCCATGACGGCTGTGATGTCACTCACGTACGTCACACACACAGGTACCTACCCTACCTGGGAGGGTGAGATAAGAGGGTACGGCGAGCAGCAGGATGACATTGAAGTTGATGGCGGCCTGGCTAGCCATGGCCACCTCGACGGGCGGGAAGGGGGTGCCGTCCTCATACTGGAGGCGACTGGGAGGCACCGCGGTGGCCACATCGGTCTCCTCGATGAGAAGGTCGATGGTCCTGAGCGCAGAGGGGGACGCCAGCAGCATACGAGTGGGCTCACGCAACACTGGGGAGGAAGGAAGCAACACGAAACACATAATATGGGAGAAGGGGCAGATCCGTTGTGTTGTGTTGTGTATGGTTGGTGACCGTACTCGTCTGACCTCACCATTGCTGACCGCTCGTCTGTCCTTGTTCGTCTGATGGGGGTTGCTTCTGAGTGTGGCGGTGGCGGCACAGAGTGTGGCTCCGATGAGGCAGGCAGCGCGGCGCTTGGCCTTGGCGTCTCGGCTGGTCGTCAGGGCCTCGACAAGGCGCGGCATGTGCGGGATCAGATGGTCCTCGACGGCCTGCAGCACCTCCTGCTGCCGACCTGGGCGCAATGTAAGCGTTGACAGGGAGATGAGTACACAATGGATGGGCAAACGAGTGGCCTGCGTACCTGTTTGCGCTTTCTTTGGGATGTTCTGGATGGCGCCATCGGTCATGACCTCGGCCAGCACGTCCGTCCAAAACTCACCACGCTCTGCCACGTGCGCCTCGTCGAGGCAGATGTCCATGGCCTTGCCCAGCAGGCGCATCCACTGGCTTGCATGAGCTGACGCGGGCGCCCGGGGGCTGAACAGCATCGTGAGAAACATGAAGGCACCGCCTGCACGCAAACACACGAGTCGGAGGGACAAGGATATGATGTCATACTCTCTAAACTGTCGTCTTGTGCCGCCCCACCCACCGTCGTACGGCGGGATCTTGAGAAGGGCCTCAGCGCGGCGGATGAATGCCTCGTGCTTGCGGAGGATGACCTCACGGAGGTCCGTAGTGGCCCCTGCGCGTAGCGTACCGGTGACGAGGGCGTCGGCCATACTCTTCATGGAGTTCTCCTGTGTTGTTGCAGCCGTCACCAGCCGGAAAATGGCGTGGTCGAGCAGCGATTGCCGGGCATAGTAGGGGGGAGGCAGGAGCTGCTCGAGCGCTGCAAACAGCTCCGTCGCCTCCTTCGGCTGCCATTGGAAGGGGTACCTGGGAAGACGAAAAAAACAGCCTGAGTTAACTGCAGAGAGCTCGTGCAAGACTATGTATGAGAAGCGTGAGAGTGGCTCTGACTTTCGGGGCGATTCGCTCCTTACCCATGTTGCAGGAGCACCCAGAATGTGACGGTGGCACTCTGCTGGATGGTGCTGGAGATGGGGTCTTCGCGGGCTGGACGCACCGATGTGGAGGTCTTGATGATGGCGAGAAGCGGCTCATGAATTGGATGGTCGCCGCTGGCCTGCTGCTTGAGAGATCTGAGCTTGGCGGCGGGATCTGCTGAATGGGCGGCATCCACGAGGCCATCCACGCGCTTGATCAGTTGACGCGCATCGTCTGGTGCTTCTGCCAGCTTCTTGCTTATCTCGTCCAGGCTGAAGCGCAGATCTGATTTGGAGCACTGCATTGCCGCAATGCGAGCCGTTGGGCGATGCTGGCCCGGATGACGGCTCGTGTTGCCTGGCGCGCGCGTCCACGTCAGCGTGTGGACGCGCATCAGCGGAGTGACCTGCCTGCCTGCCTGCCTGCCTGCCTGGCCGTGTGTGTGGTCTGATGTGCTGGGTGTGGCATCTCGAAGGAACTCGTGGTGTACGTACAATACCAGTCACCTTGCCATCCTTCCGGGGGATGAATGGTCGATAAGTATATCGTGCTTGACGATCGACACGCATGCTGACCATTGGACTCGTTACAGTCGGTCGTCAATCATCAATCAGTCATCGTGAACAGGAAGCGCAGTGCCTATTGACATTTGGCCATGGCCCCCCCACCCTGCAGCACAGATCCTGCACACACACACAGGCATGGCAACATGTATGGATGGACCACCCGGCAACAACAGCATGGCCATAACTCATGATTGTCTCCCGTGCAAGGCTGTCCCCGGAAGGGTATAAGGAACCGGTGCGCCCTGCACAACACAACAGACTCATCCCCTGGTCCCTACCGCGCTTTCGTGGCTCTCGTTCCGTCTCACTCACCCACCCGCCAAGAAGGAATGCCCCACATGCCGAAATGGGGCTCATAGTAACCACCCCAATAGCCGTGGCCCTCATAGGGGTATACTTGCGCCGGCCGGCCCTGGTAGCCAGATGCGTCAGCTGCTCCCTGCGGCAGAGCCACTGGGGCTATCGGCTGTCCCCTCTCACCCACCTTTTGCTGGCGAGCTGAGGACGACGCGGAAGCATCCTGTGGGACCGCAAAGCCCCACATTGCTGGTGGAAGGTCAGTAGGCGGGCTTGGTGGGCGCCATGAGTCACGAAGAGACGTGTCTCGCTGTTGAGATGGGGCACTCGTCGAGGGCCGAGGGGGGACACTCGCCGGCGGTGGCGCTGCGGCTGTGGGCGGCTCGTCTAGGTTGGCTTGGAAGGGATGGCTTGCTGGTTCTCCCGTGTCTGTAGTCGGCTGCTGGTGTGCTGCTGCTCCGAGCCGCTGTGACTTGCCAACCGGATAGGATGCTTCAGGCACAGCAGAGCGCGCCCCGTCACCCTCAGTACCTAGCGGCACCTCAGCTGGAGTTTCCTCTCCCGTCGCTTCTCCTTGCCCTTCTCCACCCTCTCCCTCTTCCTCTCCCTTGTGCATCATCCCGATAGTCTCCCAGCCGCTCTTGCGGCTGTCGCCCTTGAGCCCCTCCATCGAGTCGATCTTCGCCAGTGACAGTAAGGGGCCTAGAAAATGTGGATGGGCCGCAAACAGCCGGTTGATCTCCGCGCAGGTGAGGAAGAACACCCGGCAGACGCTGCGGGCGACATAGCGACATGAAGAGATGGAGGGGCCGACGCTACCGAGGCGATCGGTGACGTGACCTGCAAGCAGTGTGTAGATACCCAAATATATAATATGTTTGTATATCCTCACCGAAGACGGCTCCGACAGGCAGCATAATCGACGCACGAGGGGGAGATCCAGAGTGAGCAGATGGGGAATCCTTTTCCGCCAAAAGGGGAGGCGGTAGTGACATCGGATCACTCGGCTTCCATGTTTTGAGCCATTCGTCCAACTCAATCGGCAGAATCTCGTGTTCATTGTCGCTCATGACTGCATCCTCGCTCTCGGCTGCCTCCTCGACTCTTTGGCTCGCCTCTTCTCGAATCTTCTGCAGTCCTTTAGCTGAAAGCCTGTCTCTCTTTGACGATCCCTTGCTCTTTCCCCCAGCACCGGCAATGGACGTCATGAGCCGGCTGTCCTCCGACGCGACGCTCGGCTGCCGGTGCGAGTTGAAGTGGTGCATCAGGAACTGTTGGTAATAAGGATTGTCCAGCAGCTGCTCCTCGTGCACCTTGCTCTCCTGCCGCCCTTCGACCCCCATCTCTTCCTTCAGAAACATCGTATGAAGGGTGTCGAGCTTCTTGCTCGAGACGTCGGCCACTGGTGAGACTTCGACGTCGCCAAAGAACAAAAACAAGAGCTCCTCGCACGTCTCGCCGGCAGCGAGGATCACTTCATTGGCAAAATACACCCGCGACCGGAGGGCAACAGCCACATCCAATCGGAAATCCTCGAGGGACGATGATGCGTGAGCGGCAGAGACGGGCAGCTGTGCCCTCCTCGAGGCGGAGATGCCCAGAAAGAAGGCATCAAACGTGTCGAGCAAAGGGCGGAAAACGTCACTGAAAAGGAGAGATATGGGAGAGAATCAAACGGTAGAAGAGGGGTTTTGGAAGAGCGAAGATGCGTACATGAGCAGTTGACGCCTTGTGAGCGGCGCAAGTGCATCCAGGATGCTCAAGTTCTGCAGGGAAAGGCAAGACACATTCATTCTTTGTGTCTCCCGCCTCTTTCGCTCGCTGCCTCTCGTCTCGTCTGACCTCAGCGACTGAGTTGTGCGGATCATCCCAAAAGTCTTTGACGGATCGATACAGCACAGCTTCCAAGCCTGGAGACAGGGGCTGAAAGCCACAGACAGACAGACAGACAGACAGACAGATTGGCGGAAGACAGAAGCTAACATTTCTGCAATTGCTCACTGCGTCAACGTACTGTCGCCATAGCACTGCTTCCCTCACTTTTCGCCGCACCAGGCTGCTTGCCCCACTGCGCGAGTCAGCCACCATTTGTGAGATCTCACTTATCGCCCATGCGATGATCAGGATGGCGAGGAAGGCACTCAGTATGGCGAGCCAGCATTCTTCTAACGTGTGAACGAAAAAATCGTCAGTCCTGCAGCGACACATACAAACACAGAGTGTATCATGCATAAGTCGCCTGTGCAGAAGTTGTTTGCTGCCTCACCCAATCGTGCTGAGTGTGTTGACGGTCCAATAAAGAGAGTTGACATACACCTCATACGTCCCCGGCGGGTCGCCACCAAACTTTGCAGACACCCAGGAGCCCTTCTCCGTCCCCACCCAATACCAAGCGCAGCCCAGCCAATGAGTCACGACGACAACAACAAGCACAAGATACACCAGCCGAAAGCGAAAGTTCAGGGCGAGGTCGACGGCAAGTCGGCGAGACACGAGTCCCTCTGGCACAACCAGACGGATAACACGCATCAGCCGCAGCAGGATGAATTCTCGCGGGACGCCGGGGATGTGGTAGATGGGAAGGCATGGGAAGAGATCCAGCACGAACCAAGAGCTCAGGTAGGCGAAGAACACGTCACTGAGTGTCCTGTGGTAGTGCCGTGTCCGAAGGTTGAAGCGAACCAAAATGTCCAGTACGAAGAACACGTCGAACGCCACGTTGATCGAGAAGAGAGTGGACGAATATTGTGGTAGGTCGGGAAGGAAAGCCAGCTGGTAGGGCACGGCCCAGAGGGTGAAGAAGATGCCCGAGGAGAGAACCGGAAGCCACAAGATGCAATAGAAGGGGCCGTCGACGTCCAGCAACCAGCTCTCTTGTGCCTTCTGAGTGCTGGCGCCTTCTTCATGCCTCTGTACATGGTGTCGGGAGAAGAGCCACTGCCTTGGTTTCTGTGGCCCCACACCGACCATTGGATTCATGTCTGCACTGCAGCTGTGCAGTTTGTTTCGGCCGAGTCTGACGGACGCCTGCAGCACCTTTGCACTGAGCTACTGCGCCTGCACACGGAAACACACCAATGTGTGCTGTGTGGGTGTCCTGATGCACCACCCATCGCGTGATAGGGCTGTGTGTGTGCTGACCTTCAGAGCCGGACCGGAAGACGATGTGGTGCTTCTCCAGGAAACCCGACTCGTCCAGAAGAGGGCACGTCGATGTGCAGCCGCGGAGAGGGGAAAGCGATAGACTCTGCGAGCTTGAGCTCGCGACGAGGAGAAGAGACGAGGAGAAGAGAAGATGGGAGGCGTTTTCACAAGGCTCAAAGGACTGGATCTGTACAGGAAAGTCCCGAGAGGTCAGCAAAACACAACCCGCGTCACTCACTCACGCACTTGATGACATACGCTGCTGGTGCTCTCTTTCTGCGCTGCCATCAGATCTAAGTGAGCCCACTTTGTCTGGCGCTTTCGTGTCGCTCGTGTCGGCCACGCTGATGACATGGCTCTTCGTCAGCGAACTCATGGCATATCTGAAGATCCGCGTGCACTCAGAGATGTACATAGGTGAGGGAGCCGCAGACGCGCACACACACATCGATGGATGTGTGCATTGCAATCAAAGGAAGGTCACTGATTGGTGTGTTGTGTTGTGTCGTGGTGGGGCAGATCATCGGCGGGATGACGACCGCCTGCAGATCAACCTGGACGTGTCCATTCATCGGCTGCCTTGTGAGATTCTATCGCTCGATGCACAGGACGTCATGGGCAGCCATGAAGGTGAGGGAGGGAGGCAGAAGCAAGCAGATCTGCTTATTGGATGCATCACTACTTGTGTGTGTGTGTTGGTGGATATCCATTTCGATCAATCAGTCGATATTCACGGCAACTTGGTCAAGACCCGCATATCCAAGGACGGTGCTGAATTGGAGAACATGCCAATACAGGGCAGCCAGATCAGCCCGAGAGGGCTCTCACCAGGGGCTGCAACCACCATACAAGTAGGAAGGGAAGGAATGAAGCGAGGGCAACCGAGGGCAGGCAACACACGAAAACGCTCAGGGGCGTGTCTGTGTCTGCATGTGTGTGCATAGTACCACTACAGTCCTGAGGACCTCAAGAAGATCGAGCAGATGGTCAAGGACTTAGAGGGATGCAGGATACGGGGATTCGTACAGGTCAACAAGGTCAGCCACTCAGTCAGTCAGTCACGTCCACGTCAATACAGCTGTCGTGTGATTGACACACCGACTGCCCTTCCTTCGTCAGGTCCCCGGCAACGTGCACATATCAACACATTCCCACGCGCACCTGCTGGGTACGTGCGTGAGTGAGACCAGACAGACACGCGGCAAGCCATGGGCGTCAGTCATCCGTCCGAAGTGCATCCATCCATCTTGTATTGTTCGGTGGTGCAGCGTCGCTGTACGGCACCTGGCAGAAGATGGACATCGGCCACACCATCAACCACCTCTCCTTCGGCAACGACCGAGAGGTCGAGTACGTCAGGCGGACCTTCAAAGACACCGGCATCGTCAGCCCACTTGACGGATCAGCAAAAACACAGCCTGGTGGGAATGAAGCCCATGTAGTTAGTGCACATACATGGCAACCAACCGTGGCAGAACATATTGCTGGCTCTGTGTGTGTGTGTATGTGTGTGTGTGTGTGTGTGCAGAGAAGCATGATGATCCGGTGATCTTTGAGTATTACTGCAATGTGGTGCCGACTATCTATGAGGGCCTGGAGGGCAGCGAGCGGCACGTGTTCCAGTTCACGGCCAACTCCAACCAGATCGCCAACCCACAAATGCCCTCTATCTACTTCAGGTGAACAGTGAACAAACACACCACGTGCGCCGGGGTCCCTTCCCTGGGCTGTTCATGTCATTCGTGTACTGTACGGTTGTTATGTGTGTGTGTGTAGGTATCACATCTCGCCCGTGACGGTTCGGTTCCAGGAGATGAGGGAACAACTCATCACCTTCCTCACACAGGCACGCAAGAGCCACACCCACACAGTGGCTTGCCTTGCGTCTGTCTACTTCTATCGGCTCTGTCGGCTCTGCTGGTGGTCAGGTGTGCGGCATTGTGGGTGGCGTCTTCACCGTGGCGGGGCTGATGGACGCCATCATACACAGGCACTGCACGCACACACAGCAAACAGACACACGGAGGGGCTCATCTTTTGTGTGGTGTGTGCGCAGGTCGATGATGCATCTGGCCAAGAGCACCAAGTTGGGATGACATATACATGGAGAATTTAGACTGTGTGTGAACAGTGTACAGCGACAATTTGTCAGCCGTGTGTGTCTGACTGTGTGTATGGTTGCGATGGGCCTAATTAATCTCGACACTCGTTGGGCACAACAGAAGGATTTGAGCGTGTTGTTTGTGGGTCGATCCCTCCCTCCCTCCCTCCCTCAATGTCCACCAGCCCTTTCCTGTCTCCTGCGCGAGTCCTTCCTAGCCACTACAACATCAGCCACCGTCTGTTCTGGATGCATCGCCCTCAAGCTCAGAAGGCTCTCTCACACAGGGACGGAGAAATGCGAGCAACAATCCATCATCGCTAAGTGCAGTGGTAGATAGCCATAGCTCCGATACCCACCCAGAGAGTGTGAGGTTCGGCCAGCTGTCGCCTCGCCTGACACGCCCGCCATCATCGTCATCCCCTAACGCGTCAGCAAATGCACTGACATAGAGGAAGACGATGATTGCCAGCAAGACATGTCAGCGAGAACGGCCGGCCCAATACGCGCATAACAACAGCAAGCCACCCCATGCCCATGTCTGTCTCCCTTCCCCCTCCTTGTCCCCTGACAGTTTGCTGTTCTTCCCTGACCGTTGTGTGCCTGCGCTGCGTCTGGTATCGCATCATCACTTGCACACGGCCATTGGAGGATGGCTCGGCGCAAGTGCTGATGCGACACCAGGCGGCACACACACACGAACACAACACGGCACAGCTACAATCCAGCACGACATCAGACACACCACCACAGATGAATGCACCTACTGATAAATCTCCATCTTGGATAAAGTGACACTGGTTCCCGCGCGCGGACAGACAGACAGACAGACAGACAGACAGACGGTACTGTACACTTGAACAAAGAAAAAGATAGACGGTGTCACGTATATTCACAGTGACACACACGCCATCTACACTGTACACGCACCATCGCCAGCCGGGGGTGGTCTCTGTCTGTCTGTCTGTCTGTCTGTCATAATGGTCCCTTGAGCAGTCTGGTGAAGAGGCCTCTCTTCTTCTTGACTGGCGTGCTGTACACAGTCTTCTCTGCAGACGGGACACACACACACACGCACACACAGAGAGATAGAGATAGATGAGTCACGCTACAAACGCCCACGCCCTTCCGTCCATTGCGTCGTGTGTGCCTATCTGTGTACTTTACTTACTGCAGAAACGGCATATGATCCACTGGTTCATCGGGCCGGTCCCATCGCGATAGCAAGACGTACACTTGAACGTCTGTAAAGACACAGTGACAGACACATACAGACCACGCATCCGGCACCGCCGGCGCCTGCAGCTCTCTCCCTCCTCCCTCACCCCCATGTTGGCTGTTGCCGTTTCTGTCGTCCCGCCAGCAGGCTCCTGGTGCCCGCCCTCAGCCACAGGCGGCTCACTGCTCGACGCCGCCTTCCCGCCACCGTGGTCGGCGCTGTTTGACACGTGCTGCGTGAGGACGGGAGAACCGTATGGTGACGGCCTGTCTTGGGCTTCAAGCAGCTCTGGGTTAAATGGTGGAGGGGGTGCGAGGGACGGGTACAGGCCGTTGGTGTCGGACGCATCGGCAGGGGCATGATCAGACGCCATGACGAAAGATCTCGGCGAAGAAAGGATCCGTCTCACTTTGTTGGTAGGGCTGGGTTGCAGGGTTTGGTGCACGATCGTCGCGAATCTCGACGATTGGACTCGACTGTCTCGTCGTCTTGGCCGTCCGCCATCGACAAGAAGGTGAGAAGAGTCCGACGCACGTTTCTGCAAATTAATGTGGCGCATTTTTCCTTTTCTGATGCCAATGACATTCTTTCAGGCCCGCCTGTCACCCGCGAGGCATGATGGATGTGACTGACTGACTGAGTGACTGAGTCGCGCAAATGAATGGACGGACGGACAGCACACAGATGGCACCGAAATCGGCCCCCATGTATCTATCTATCTCAGATGGCCATTATCTGAGTGTCTCATGAGTGCACACACAGCTGAAATGCGTGTCTGAATCCACCAAGCCAACACGCTCATTCAGTCCATCAATCGTCGCTCTCACTCGCGCAGACAACAAATGCCCTTCATTCCTGTCTATCTGTACACTCATTAACACGGACGCCTCACACAACAAGAAATACCCTCTCACCCTGGATGCCCTTTGGGCTCATATCTCTCTACTCTCCCCCTCCCTCCCTCCCTCATGCCACACCCTACTCCCCCTATCCATCCATCCATCCCCCCCTCTAGAGGAACTCGCTCAGCCACCGTGTGATGGACGTCTGCACCCCCTCGACGGTCCTCAAAAAATTCCCCCTCGCCACCCGTCGGATCGGCAGCAGCGGGTCGATCGGGTCAAAGGGCGTGTCCAGGAAGATGTTCTGCGTCAGAGGCGTCACGTGCGTCCCGCGGATGACCTCCTTGCGGATCTCGAGGCTGGAGGGGCCCCGCCCGTTGCCGGGCGCCTGCAGCCTGACGATGCTGGCGGCGTCCTTGAGGACGGTCTCGACGGCGTCTGTCTCGTCGATGGCGTCGTTGTCGAACTGGACGAGCAGAGTGCGGCGGGTGCGGTACATGCGGGTGGCCGCCTCCTTGACCTCTGCTGGCGTCGGCTCGAACTCACGGACGTCCTGTCAGACATGACATGCAGAGACAGGGATGGGATGTGTGTGAGTGGGTGGGTGCTGGGTGGCAGGCGTGTGGCTGACCTCTTTGGCAATGGCGTCAAGGAGTCCTGGGACCTGGTCGATCACCTCCAAGGTCTGCTTGAACAACGGGATCACCTGCATACAATACACACACCGACACACGTCACATCGGTGGGCAGTGTTCCTTCCTTCCTGTCGTTCGCCCATCCCTCCACACACACACACACACACACGTACCTCCCTCTTGTAGAAGGATGGCGTCAGAATAAAGTTGGACGACGCCTCAGCAAAATCGTCGACGCTTGTGCGGAGGAACCTGACCAGCTCACGGAGGTTGCCCGGCACGCTCTGGGTCCTGGAATTCATCAGCTGACTCGCTATCGGCACCACAACCTACACAACACACATGACAAAATCAGATAGATGGATGGATGGATGGATCTTCCGTGCAGTACTGACCTCCTCGAAGAAAGGAATCGCCTCTGCTGCTGGCTTGTTGTTGAACGATATCAGCACATTGCCCGCACGAGGAGTCCCTAGGATGGACATGACACACCCACACACACAGAGAGTTGACACCAGGGCCCGCGTCCATGCCTCATATATCGTCGCCTGCCTGCAGACCTGGGAAGAGGCATGAGATGAGTAGGTGGAGTAGGGCGCCGCACGAGTGTCCCACACCCACCACCGGGAGGGCCCCGTACTCACGCGCCAGAGGAATGGCGATCTTCTCAAAGCGATCCAATATGCTGTCACACGTCTGATTGATAAGTACATATTCATGGCCATGACACACAACCACCACACACAACCATTTGCTGTGGGTGGTTGGGTTGCCTTGCCTTGCCCGTCTGCCAGCCTGTTTACCTCCAGGTAGTCGAATGAGAGTCTGTATGGCGATGCGACCACAAGGAAACCCTGCTCCGCCAAGCCGGTGAGAAAATACCTATCACACAACACACCGTCTCCGTTCACTCACCCACGCCCCTCCCTACCTGTATGTGAGGTGCGGTGCCGCCCCCACGAATGCCCCTCCCAGGAAGTGAATCAGTGCCCGTGGCCGCAAATCGGGCGGCGGCCGCAGCAGGAAGTTGCCGCTCATCTCCTCCCACTCCCCCATCAGACCCACGCCAACACCGCGTCTCGACGACACCCCTTCCTCCCCATCCACCACCTGACCCGGCAGCCGCAGCCCACGAAGGTCGGGGAAGGGCAGACCCCTAGGGCCTCGCTCCTCCGTCTGGACGTCGCCGCCGTTCTCGTATGGTCGCATGAAGGATGAGAGGGCAGGTCGTCGTGATGGTGATGGCCGGGTGCGGGATGATGTGGGGCCGACGAATGTGTTGCGGGGAGGGGTCCATTGCCGGGCGGGGCGGGGCGGTTGTCTTGTTGCTCGTGCTGGTGCGGCTGGTGGGGGGGGTGGTGGCCTGGACGGGGTCGGCTGTGGGGTCTCTTCTTGTCTCGGCGTCGGCTGCTTTTGAGCGGCAACACGTGATGGCGATGGGGCTGCTTCCTCCATCTCGTCTACGGGAGGGTGAAGCCGTGATGCATAGTCCTGCTTGGCCTCCTCTTGTGTGCGCTCCATCGAGCTCTGTCGGGCTCTCTGCTCCATCACACACACACACAGACACACAGTGCACGAGAATCTATGTGAGAAAGATCTGTGTGCGTGTCTCGCTGACCGCCAGGTTGTCAAGGAAATGCTGTACAGTAACTTCGCTAGACATGATGCGGTCGCTGTGAGACTGACCCCACCGCAACACCTGCACACCACACCATATGGCACAGCACAGCACAAGCAGTCAGTCAGTCAATCCACACACCCACAACACAAACACCACATGTGTCTGTCGTATCAGCCACTGACCTTCAGCTCCTCCCTCGACAGTTCCATGCCGGCGCTATCTTCCATCCGCTCTGCCCCTGGCCCTTCCTCGTGGTGGTGGTGGTGTTCAATCGTTGACATCAGCCGCCTCTGTGAGTGAGTCAGTCCACCGTCACCCTCAATCCGCTGGGCGGCCATGGACGTTCGTGCTGTCATCATGGGTCGCCATGGAACCATGAATGCTGGGGACCTAAAGCAGACCGACAGACATAGCAACACGTGTTGTGCCTCAGTGTCAGTCACCACACCCTGTGCGTGTGTGCAAGGCAAGGCAAGGCAAGGCAAGGCAAAGCAAGGCAAGCTACAATAAGATAGATACGAGGGTATGAGCTCACCTATGCAGCAGCTGCCATGGCCCTCCGTCCCCCTCTGCGGATCTGTGCAGTCCACGGCACGTCTGTAACCCCGCCCATGCTAGCAAGGACACCAGCACGCCCCGCCACAGGTCGATGCGCCGCCTGCCGCGTTGCCTTGCTCGACTGCCGCAGGGAACGGAGCTGCTGCTCGTGCACTCTGAATGACCAGGGGGTGATTGGTCGGCTCTTTCGCGCGTAGACAACAGAGGCTGAGGCGGCTCTGACGGCCGTGCTGACGCGGTTGATGGTGCTTCATCGTCACAATGCCGCCGGCTCGCCGGTCCAGGCAGAGGCATGAAGCGATCATCAACAGCACCATCTGCCGACTCACTGGAAGCCTCCCTGGGCTGCACCAACTCCATCGACAAACACTCAAGATCAGCTGAAGATAGATAAAGATCTGGGGCAGTGGTGAGTGTAGGACAACGTCCCGGCCCTTTCTCTTCTTTTCTCTATCCCTCCGGCAGCAGCGGTTTCAGGGAGCACCCTAGTCTCTTCCCTCTGGGCGAGCTAGCTGAAATGGCGACGTCCACTGCATCAAACGCATCACATGGAGCGACAGGCAGCGCGAAAAGCAGCGATCTAATGCCGCTGCTGCATCAGTGGCTGACACAAGAGCGGCAGCGCTTTGCAAGTGAGGACACGGCTCTCATTACCCTCCTCGACCGGGTGGTCGACCGCGCCGCCCTCTTCATCGCCATGGCCCAAGCACAAGACGACGGCCAGCCATCATCGCAGCAGCCGATGGACACTGAGCTGCTGATGAACGCGCTGGAATACTTCATCGACCAGCTTATGGCGGCATCCGACGGCAGCCACGCACCCGCAGACACGCGCAAGCATCTCATTGCCCACGTGAGGGAGCGTGTGGAGCTGCTGGGTGCGAGTTTGCGGGCGGCAGACGACGAGGAGGGCGAGAGCGAAGCTTACGAGACTGAGCCTGAGGGCGAGGGGCGGTTGTCTGAGCAGCCGCAGCACCAGGCGCGTGCGGCCGACGGGGTGTCAGAGGGCGATAGAGAGCCGGAGAGCGAAGGAGGGGAGGCACGGGTGAGAGAGAGAGGGAACACGCAGACACTGTCGGGTGGTGTGATAAATGGTGTGTCTTTTCTTGTGTGCGTGATTGTGTGTTCAGATAGTGTGTCCCCACCTGTCCTACCTGTTATGGATACGCGTCTTTGAGTACCTGCACCACGACGAGCTGGAGGCACCCGCCATAGCCTGCTCCGGCCTCTGTGCGGCCATCAACCTCAACCTGTAAGCAGCACCTGTCCTGCCACATCTCTCTGTGATAAAGGGATTATTGCCGTGTTTGGTGGTATGTTGCGGTGTGTGTGGTCAGATTCTACATGTACTTGGTGATGCGCGTGCTGCGGTTTCTGCTGGTGGGCCCCTCGGACGATATCGAGGACGATGATGAACAAGAGGGCCAGCAGGGAGGGTAGATAGAGACGCAGCCAGGTGGTGGTCAGCCTGTGTCGCTCAGCTCGTGTTAAGCTAAGGTGTTGCGGCACTCACGAGTGCCTTAACATTTGATGGGTTGCAATGCATAGTGGCGCTCACACGACGCACCGCACAGGTGGATTGGATAGGGACAATTCATTCACTCTGCGAAATTCACAGAGGTCCCTAATGGGGATATCTATCTTTCCCTTTGTATGGTATCTATCGTACACGACGGACCGACACACTCAAAACCTTTAACGGCGGACACACACACATCGTCACAGCTCGTCATGCCCCTTCTGCCCATCCTGTCTGTCAGCATCAGCAGCATCACCCGCCCCTCGAGCAACGAAGTCCGTCATGAACAGATGGGCCACGTTGCGCGCACCCACCGCCTCGCTCTCCATGCAGCTCACTGGGGCCTGGAGGGGCCACACACACATGCCCTCTGTCAGTCTGTGAGTGATGCATGGAATGGATGCGTGTCGTGCCTCACCTCCATAGCGCTGACGTAGTACATACCCCTGCGAAAGCGGAAATGCGGCCAGTGCGCCATCGGACGCAATATAGGGTACGCAGCGCTGACAGACAAACAGACAGACAGACAGACAACACACAAGGGAGAAACGGGGTTAAGGGAAGCAGGTGTTGGTTTGCGTGTGTCGGTTGGTGGCATGCTGTGGTCGTCACTCACAGCCAGTCGACTCGTGTGATGGTTGAGATGTTGACGAACATCTCCTTCAGCAGGGAGTCGGGCGGAGGGGTGCGGGAGAACACCTGAAGGATGGATGGATGGACGACACAGACAGACAGACGTGTCTGCCGCTGCCAGTGGGCGTGTCGTGTGTGTAGGTTTCTCTTATTCACCCACCTTGTAGACGTGTCTCTTGTCGGTTGGTGTGTACCCCTGCAACCCAATCGATGTGATTGGCAGTGACGCTGCATCGATCGCATCCGCATCCATTCGATGCACAGCACACGGAGAGAGGGGTGACACATACGCCACGCCTGTGAGCTGAGCTGAGCTGTGTTGTGTCGGCTGTCCCGTCCCCACCCGGGCCACCCGCCCACCCCACCTATCTCGGGCGTGAATATGAGGTCGACCGGTTCGTCATGTTTCATGGAGAAGTACTTCTTATCCACACCATCACACGCCACAAAGGTGGCATACGTCGTCTGACAGACAGACAGACAGACAGTCGAACACGCCAACAGAGACACAGATGCCTGATGTGTCAGACTGTCAATACACTCACCCCCACCCACCTGATACTTGAGCGGCTCTTCGACTGCCTCTTCGACAATGGGGATGCTGTCGTCAAGGGAGATACCGCTCAGGCCCATCGGAGCAGCCAGCACCACAGCGTCATAGTGCGCATCCGAAATGGCCGACAGGGAAGAGTCGTTGGCACCACCAGCAGCAGTAGCAGAGGCCGCATGCACGGCGAAGAGCGGCGGATGGCCTGAGAATGGCTCGATCAGACTGACAGAGCGGACCGCTCTGCCGAGAAGAACCTAGATAGAAGAACCACGCAAATGGTGTAAGCAAGCCAAGTGTGTCTGTCTGGGGTCTTGTCACTCCTTTGTTTACCCTGTCAGCGCTGTGTCTGGCGAGTCCTTCGGGCACACGCGAGTTGCCCTCCTTCACGCGCCACACACTGCCCACCAGAGAGCCGCCGGCCAGCGATACTGATACCATCGCCACACACACACACACACACACAGAGGCAAGAAATCGGGTGCTTGCACTTCTCATGGTGCCATCGCTATCGCACCTTGATTCGCGAATGCATTCAGGGTTGACAAGGACTGGCCGTAGTTGACACGGGAGATGCCCTCCACCCACTCGTCCATAAAGAGTGGCTTCAGCCTCTTCCGCCGCAGAAACTCACCAGCCGTCACCTGCGTCTCGTCGTACAGGGCCAGCCCCTCAAACAGACCCTTGGGCGATGCAAACCCGCCCCCAAAGCACTCCGCCTCGCCGTCAGCACATGGGAATGCTCTCTGGCGGAAGCTCTTGTAGAGCGGCGTCCACTTCTTGAGGGTCCTGTTGACGGTTTGTGACGCGTGGAAGAGTGTGGCGAGGCCGTATCGCCACAGGATGGAGAAGAGGGTGACGATGGAGTTGCTGTAGCTGTGCCACAGGATGGACGTGCCGTCCCAAATGTAGACGCGACCGTCTGGGCAGAAACAAACAGAGGAAAGTGACTACGTGGAGGCAGGCAGGCTTGTGGTGTTGTTACCTGCAGATGGGGTGGTGGCAGTCAGATTCAGAAAGTCGACGGCCTCCTGCGCATACCATAAACAGACATAACAGACGCTGACACAATTAAGCTTGCCGTGTTTGCATAATACATACCTGCATAAACTCATTGGAGCTGTGGAGAATGCCGGCGCCCGCCTCCACACGCAATCCCTCGACCTCCACCTCACGCACCCTCCCGCCCAGCACAGACTCCTTCTCATAAAGATCAATCAGCCACTCATCCCTCCGGCCTTCCTCCTTGAGCAATTGGTCCACAAAATAAGATGTGAACGTCCCCGCTATGCCGCCGCCGAATATCGCCAGCCGCCTCTTCTTGCCTGGTGCTGGAGACCACTTCTCGCCGCGAGCAGCGAGGACAATGAATGCCCAGACAAAAAGGAGGCAGATCTTTATGTTTCTTGATGACGTCATGAAGCAGGCATGCTGTGCATGTTGGGAGAGCCCGACAAAGATGGCGTTTTGGGGCAGCGGTCGCGGCAGCGATCGCCATGCGAGCTTAGAAGACCCCAAGACAAAGCAAGATGAGGGACGGCAGCACATCTGTTTGTGGAATGCAGCCAGAAAAATGGCATCTTCTCGGCGGCATTATCATCGCATCTGTCACGCCGATGCTGGATGCCTTTCATCACCACAAGCTGCCATCCACGAGCGGCCGGCTGGGGCGGCCATTGCGAAGAGCACATGTGCGCCTGCCGAAGTTAGTCACGATGGAAGTGGCGATGGAAGACGCATCGATACTGGATCTCAAGCGGCAAGTGGAGGAGAAGGGGCTGGGAGACCGGCAACTCATTGGCTAGTGAGCAAACCAAGATGACGCAAACGAACAGCTCATCCATCCATCCATCCATCCCATACGTTGGGTTCGTGTCTGTCTGCAGCTACACTGCAAAGCTGAAGGCCTTCAAGAGAGAGCTCTACGGCAAGCTGGCTGGTGCAGATGGGGTGCTGGACAGCGACAGCACCCATATGACGGACACCCTGCGTCAGGTTGATCCGCTGCCCGAGCCAGCCAAGAGCCTGTCCTCCATCGGCGGCACATATCAACACATCTCCACCCCCTACCTCGCACACAACAAGAGCGAGGCGGTCCACCTCCACAACGCTCTGCAGCAGCTGTTCCCCGTGCTCATGTCCAGCCCTCTGACCGACTCGGCCATGCTCTCATCTGACGACACCGTGGCCATCGACTCTGCCGATGTGGAGCTGCTGAGTGATGCGCGAGAAAGCGCCGCGAATGGCACTCTCACGCTGCGGTACGATCTTCGCTTTGTGGATGGGGAGAGGACAGTGCCGATCTCTGTGGAGCATGGGATTGCCCCGATTGAGGCGCGTAAGTGGTCAGTGAGGCCGCTGAGAGTGGTGGTGGGGCAACCTGGGGATGGTGATTCGGCCGAGATGAAGTCGACTGACGCATCAGTGTCGCTGGTCGATGTGATAATGCGCGAGAGGGAGAGTGGGGGCCAGCCTGTGTGTGTGAGCCTGGGTGATGGTGGGTGTGTAGTCGACGTCGTCTGTGAGATCGTTTATTTCGACGACCAGACGCTCATTCTCGATATGAAGACGTATAGCAAGAGTGAGGGCGGGCAGGAGAGTGAGAAGAGGCTGATGCTAGCGTCGTGTAGGTGGGTGCTGGGCAGGACCGGTCGACAGTACGATGAATGAGTGAGTGACTCGTTAGCGCCCGTGTATGTGTGTCAGTCAATCGATATTTGTCGGTCGTCCATTCATTTCATTCATCAGTCACGTCAATCAAGCCTTCATGTACACGGATCACTAGATGAGTCTATACACAGTGACCCACACGCTCGGGCGTCCATCATGCAACACAGACTGTGTGTTAGAGAGAGAGAGAGAGAGAGAGTGTCTGCCTTGCCTGAAGGTCGTGAGTCATGCTGCCTTGGCTGCTGTGGGCAGCATCATGACCTGCCTGAGCTTGCCCACTCTCCTGCACTGCCGCCTCTGCTCCTCGGGTGTGCTCATGCATTTCCCCGCCGTGTGCACTAAAGCCAGCTCAAAGGCGGAGAAGGCCCTGAAGATTTGATGACACACACATACACACATGGCACATGACACACATAAGGTACCTGAGGCTGCCGCTGCGACAGGCAAAAGACTCTTTACTGGCTGCTCTGCTTACCACTGAAATATGCGAAAATGCTTGACGAATTTGTTGAACCGAAAGTAGGAGAGCCAGTTGATGTAGGCAATCAGGAAACATTGGGCGAACCAAAACACAGAATAACGCAAATTCTGCACACACACAGCACACATGCACAACACACATGGCCGAGCCCTGCATTCCACTCCAGGCAGCCTCTTTCATGTGATCTCTCTCACGGTTTCTAGTGCGGCAAAGAACTCTCTGAGAATGCCGTCTCTGTCAAAGTGGCGCCTGGCCATCCACCACCTCACACACAGATACAGCGAGTGATACATCATCCCTGCACACACACAACAGAACAAAACAGACACACTGTGGTCTTCTCTCTCTGTCTGGTCTTGTTTCTGACTCACTGACCAGATCCGCAGAGGACGAATATGATTGACGTGACGAGTGTGCCCGAGAGGGCCGCACTCTGTGTCACCACCTCTGTCACATTCAACCCAATCAACAAAAACAACAACTACATGATCACATACACAACATACACACACACACAGATATACAAACAACAGTGAAGCGGTCTGTGTTGCCATTTCTCCCGCACCTGCTCACCAGTATGACAGCGAAGCAGAACCAAACGGTCATTTGGCACACTCGCCAGTACCGGTGCAGCACAGGACACAGCGGCAGCGGCAGCGCCATACCCACACACCCGTCATCCCACCCATACACACGGCTCTCCATCGCCTGTGAGCAAACAAGCAAAGCAAAGCAAAGCAAATGCCATCCATCCTTCCTGTGTTTGCCATAGAATCTCGCGTGTTGACTGACCTGGAAGGTAACGTGGAGGAGCAGCCAGAGAAAGGGCACGTAATGCAGTGAGGCCGACAGGCACACAATCATCTCGCAGTCCAGGACGATGAACCGGAAGAGGGCGAACGTGATGTGCACCGCCTTGAGCACAAAGAAGTGCGCCGAGTAGGACGGATGCATGGCGTGGAGGCTCCGCCGACCGGCGAACTCCGGCGGCTGGGAGAGCTTGCCCTCGGCCAGCTGCTGGAACAGACAGATGATGTCTGACACACACGCCCACAAACACACATCAATCGTCGGATTTGTCAGTGAGTGATGCGCACTGGGCTTACACACGACGCATGAGCAGAGATAGACATCTGCAGGCGGACACACACACAGACAACAGTCAATTGACTGTTGTGTCACACATTGGCTGCCTGACTCACCGAAGAAAACGGTATACAACGATGCCATACAGAGTCGGGCATCACAAGACGACTGCAGACAAACAACAGCATTGCATTGCAGTGATGGAAAACCCAGGGCGAGTGAGCAACCTTCTCGTGTGTAAGCGCTCACCCTTGGCGCTTGCGCTTTCAGCCACTATCACAAGAAGAGCACCAGCTGAGCTGTTTTGCTCCTTCTGCGCTTCGCTTCTTCAGGCAGGCGCTTCAGAATCTTCCAGGCAACTTGCAAGCTAGGCTTGCAGGTGGGCACAGCAGAGAAAAGAAAAAGGGGAGCCTCACAGGTCGGCAGGCGTGCAGTCAAGACCGTCCATCCTTAGATCCCTTCATCCTGCTCACACGTCGTCCGTCTGATCACCGTGATCTGTCGTGTGGCAGCCGGACAGCAAGATGGACAGGACCTGCTGCGCCACCCTGTGCGTGCTCCTGCTGCTCTCTACTCACACCTACTGCCATGAGGCTGCTGGCTTCGTCTCGCCGCTGAGGCCATCGGGCCGTCTCTCCCGGCAGCAGCACGTCACGCCGTCTGCACGTCGGTATGAGGGGCGGGATTTGGTGAGCATGTCGGCGCAGACGACCGTCAAGACCACCACGGAGCCGCAGCCACTGCCCGCGGACCTGGTGGAGTTCAGAAGGAAACTGATGAGTAAGTGAGGCAGGCAGGCAGGCAGGCAGGCAGAGGGCGTCCCTCCTTGTTAGCGTGCACGCTGCCTGCACTGCACTGCGCTGCACCTATCTTGTCTGTTGGGTTGGATGTGTGTGCTTTGTTTGTTTGCAGAGGACCCGTTGTTCCCGCTGCCTCGCGATGACGCCATGTGGGTGGAGTTTGCGGTGTCCAACTTCGGCTTTGTGGTTGGGCTGATATTCTTCAACCCGGTGTTCGGACTGGTCTTTGCGTCCCTCTTCAACTACCTGTCCAAGAAAGAGGGTGAGGGAGGGAAGGAAACGCTCACAGGGCTGATTGGAGCGCATGGGACAGCAATCGATGTGTTGGTTGGTTGGTGTGTTCAGGTGAGTTGGGTGAGGTGTTCCGTGTGGTGGGCCGATTTCTCGTCGACTGCTCCAATTTTGTCATGTCGTAAGCACGGGAAAGATGTATTCAACACAGGGGGACGACTACACGAGAATCGCGCCCTTTTTCTTCCCTCAGTCTGAACACCCGCTTCTCTCTGGTTGAGAAGGGCTCGAAGGCTGTGTCGAGTGGATACACCAACATCAAGGTGGGCGGCAATACGCGCACATGCCCATCAGGGGTCATCCGCTGTGCTGTGCTGTGTTGTCTTGCGGGCTGTGTGTTGACACATGCAGAAGGGTCAGGACGACACTGAGAGTATCGACAAGATCGAGTCATCGGCAAACACCGTCATCACAAAGATCAAGGTCAGAGGGGGGGAGACGGGCTGGTGGGACAGACAGACAGACAGACAGACAAACCTACAGACAGCGCAGCGCGACACCCATGTGATCGATGAATGATTGACCTACTTGTCTGTCCGCTGCTCGTCATCCATCAGGATTTTGACGCCAAGCAGGATGCCCGCGGCAAGCTGCTGGAGCTGACATTCAGGGCGGGAGACGCAACGAACAGGTTCTATGACCAGGTACGCAGTACGCACGCACACACGCACCTACACAATAGGCCAAGTTGGACGGGTGCGAATGTGGTTGCGGGCTGGGCTGTGCTGGCTGCAGCTTCTTGACTGGAACAAGGAGTACGACTGGTCTGGCAAGGCCATGCGCAAGAGCCAGGAGCTGCTCGACAAGGCCAAGGAGTCACTGGCCGAGGAACCCGCCAAGACGCCCACTGCACCGACCTCGCCCGCCAGCAAGGCCGCCCCGCCGCCCGCCGCAGCTCGCGAGACCATCCAGGCGTAAACCAGCAGACACTGAGAGCGGACGGACGGGTGTTTGCTGATGGAGTGAGTGAGAGGTGGCCTATTGGCCCATTTTTGATAATGCATACACATACGGTAGAGAGAGGGTAAAGAGAGCGGGGGACGGGACAGGTAGGTCTCTTCTTATGTCAGATAGACATACGAACGAGGGCTCTCGTGTCCGTGTGGCGGCGGCTATGTAGTGTGGGCAGACCGGTTTGTTTGGGGGCGTTTGCTGACTGAGGTTTTTAAGTTGCTGAAGGGCAGGCAGGGAGGGAGGGAGGGAGGGAGTGAGGTAGAGAGGTGTGCAGCGTGAGTGGCGTCGGTTGCAGCGATCGGCCACCATTTGTTCATCACATCTGCGTGTTCCGCCGTGTTGCCATCCACCAACCATTCACCCACCATACCATCGATTTCAAGAGAGCCACACACAGCAATTAGGCCATCCATACGAGAGAGCGAGCGAGCCAGTGAGGGGGGCGGCGCGGCGATGTGGTTTTCGTTCGTTCTGGCAGATTTTTCCACTTGTATGCCTTCTTGCAGGGGGCAGAGAGCAGAAGTGCTATCAGGCAGTCAAGAGAGCAGGAGAGACGAAGTCAGGGTCAGCAACCCAGAGAGGAGAGAAGACGTGCTGTCACGCTGTGTTGATCTCGCCGACAAGCGCTTGGCTGTCCCTCGACAACCAGCACGACACTAAGCACGCAAAAGACAGAGAAAGAGAGACAGACGTAGGGGGCAGGCCTCTTCTTGGACACCGACGTGGGTGTGTGGTTTTCGGCGACACTTCCGCTTGCAGATGCAGTTGCCCCATTTCGTTAATCGAACAAGACGACGAAATGGAACGACTTCATCGGCGGGCGCACGTGGAGACGATAGCCACACTTTCCATCCCCCACCCGACCACATCCGCGAGTGTATATTTTTGGATGGGAATGCGGATATGGGGGCCACTCGCTCTTGGTGAGGGAGAGGAGAGAGGGCCTCACTGCCTGCCTGTCCACCTGCCTGCCTGCCTGTCTGCATGGCCTCTGCGGAGTTTCTGTACCATACTAATCGAGCTTATGTACTACGGGGGAGTGAGTGCCTGCCTGCCTGCCTGATGCGCACGATGCATGTGCATGATGCGTGCACGGCGTGCGCCGCATGCGACGGATGGAGCGAGCGATGCGTGGCATGCAGCGGATGGATGAGTGTGAATAATTGACTGATCGATTGAAGTCGAAATCATAGGCGAAACCACCCACGCCTACCTAACACTTGCTGGTCTGTCTGCCTTGCTTGTCTGTCTGTCTGTCTGTCTGTCTGTCTGTGCGTGTATGATGTCTGCGAAGACGAAGAACCCCCATTACGATGAATGAATGAGTGAATGAGTACATGTGTAACTTACACACGTCAACAGAACAGCACTTATTGAACGGTCGATGATCAGTCCGTCCATCCATCGGCCATGAATGATCTAGTCGGTCATAGGAAGCGATACAGCACATTGGTGACATGTGTGGTCTGTCTGCTGCCCGCCACTTGCCTCATTATCTCACCCCCAGAGAACTTGATATCTTCGGCACGCTCTCCCCTCACCCAGTGTGATCCATAACTTGTCGATTCCCTTGTCAGCGGCATATTGCGATAGGTCACCTTGACGGCGCTTGGAGCGATGAATGACTCTTTCAGCACCTTCCGTGTGGCTGGCCGTCGAATCACTTCATTTTCCCGGCATCGAGCCGCTGTCTGCGCTCTCGCCTTGCTGTCGTCGATAACAGCGAGAGGCAGCTCCGTCCACGGCTTCGGAACCCATGGCGCCTCAGCTTCCTTCATCTGCACTGACTCTTCCGCCCTCATGCTGGTCTCTGCTTGAGTGGCCGGCCGATGGTCGGCTGCGTCTTCAAAGGGCGGCACTGCGTTGTCTCCATTTGCTGTCTCTCCCGCCTTTGCAGCAGAAGGCCCCTCTTTCGCCGGCGCAATTGTCCATGGAGCAGCCGTTGAAGGACGCACCCCGAAAGTCCGTGTCGCTCTGCTCTCCGGCCGCAGCGTTTTTCTCCCCTGTGTGACGTCGCTGTCGCCCAACAGCACAGAAATCCCCCTGTCGACGCCTGGGAGTGACGCCTCAGCCAGCCTGTGGGCGTTGAGGGCAAACGAACCGACGCCTGCTGGACGAGGAGCGTTTTCTGGATAAAGGAGTCCATAGACCGAGTTGGTTGTCGCCTGGGACTGCGACCAAGACATGAGTGGCAGTGTTTGGCTGTTCCTTCTTGGTTTCGAGTTGATGTTCTCTGGGTCCCTAGGGTTTAGGGTTTTGTTAGCTCGCAAGGGGAAACTGGCGGACTTGAGGCTGCTGGTGTTGTCAAATCTTCGTGCTGTTGTTGTCAAATCTTCGTCGTCGCCTTCAGATCTGTGTCGCCTTCGTCAGCTGCCTCTCCATTGTGTGTGGTGTGACAACACAGGTGACTCTCGCAGCGCCACAATGCTTACACAAGCGCCAAATGTGCCTACTCTTCCCTTTTCGCAGGTCGTCCCGCTGCTGATTGCCTTCCTTCGGACTGTCTTCCTTTCGCAAGGCCGCCGCCAGCACCACAATGACGACGAGTGAAGCCTCTGACTCGGTGTCCGTCATCCCGCACTCGGCTTCTTGCTCGGCTCGACAAAGCACTCGCAACACGGAAGCAGTCCGTCTCTCATTCCCCCCTGGCGCAGCAGACTCGACTAAGGAGCTGGCTTCCGGCATTGTGCGGGGCACGCTGACAGAGGAGCGAGCGGCACACCTGATTGAAGCAGGGGCTGATGCCACCGTCCAGATGCATTACACCTTAGAGAAATACCATGGCGTCCTCCCATGGTACGGTTTCGTGGCCACCATGCTCGAGTTAACCGTCTGCTTCTACCCGTGTTGCTGCCTCGACTCCTGCCGTCTACTGAGGAGGCTCCTCAAGGCCGGCGCGGACGTCAAGTCTCTTAATGGTCGGGTTTTCACCCTTGCGATCGTCGCCCAGAAGTTCAACGCCTTGTCTGTTCTCGCCGAGTCCATCGCCGAAGTCCCTCATCTCATGCTGCTTGATGGCTCTCGGCTGGGGCACCGGCACGGCAACTGCAGCCTTCTGTTCGTTCTGCCCGAGGGCTGCACAGCCATCACACGCGAGCTGGCACACGGTGTGCTGACGGGGGACATCGACGACGCGGGCGTCGAGCTTCTGAGAGAGCAGGGAGCTGACTCGGCCATGAAGATACAGATGGTGTCGTCCGACTGTCCCAGCTTCTATGGATGGATGGTGCCGCGGGCCTCTCCTCTCGACTGGGTCAATCTCGGGCCCTGCAGTACCAACCTCAACGATAACAAGACGCGGTGCTACGAAGGGACTCTCCTTGCGTGGGTAGTCGCCCTCCATCCAGAGGGGCCTGAGACGCCCGGAGTGCTGCGGGCTCTTGTCAATGGCATGGCCGGCACCATCAGCCGCAACCAGTGGGTGCGTTACTTGACAGCTGCCGCCGCGTCCTGCTCTCACGCAGCTGTCGACTCCATTGAGAGCAGGAATTGCCCCGAGAGCCAGCATGGAGCATCGAAGCATCATACACACTCACGACACGATTGGCTTCCATGTGTGATGGCTCTGAACCCTGTCGACCCCATGTTTCACAACAGGCGTGAACCAGCCGCTTCGATGTGTGAGCCAACGAGGTACATCATAGGTCCATGTCCGGCATCTGGCGTGTCGTCCGTTTGCTCCCACGTCGAGTTGTCGACCTCCACAGCTCTCTGTAGTGCAGTGTCGACTCGATGGGAGTCATGCGGTGGTAGGGAGAGAATGCGGCTCCAGGTGCAGAGAATGCGCAGCCAGGCAGAGGGGGAGGAAGGGGCAAGACGAGGGTCCGCAGAATTCGTAGACATGTCTAGCTAGAGTCCTCTCTTTTGTGCACACCTGTGATGTATTTCGTGTGTGGCCTGGTGTGTGGCGCGGGCATTGCGCTTCACTTTTTTCGTCCGCTCTCCCTGGCAAGAGAGTGTTTGATTGTAGGCAGCAAGAGGTGAAAGCGGCTAGCTGTCGCGCTTTTGTTATTGCATATTCGTATGCTGGTCAGCCCACTTGCCGAGACTCGTTGAATGAATGGCAATCACTACTGGCTACGGGGATGATTTGCAAGCATCGGTTGCATGCTGTGTGTTCATCTGCTGTCTGCGTGTGTGTGTGAGGGTGACCAAGCTCTCCGTGCCCCTGGCATTTTGTAGCGCGCTTTATGAACGCGTGTTTCCGTACAGTGTGTCGTCCCAATTCGATGCGTTCGCGGACGGTTCGTAGACGTTGTGTCGTGTGTGTCATTGCATGGATGACTGCCCCTGCCGTTCAACGCTCACTCTTATCCATCCACCATGCAGCACAAACACGCACCACATCAATGCAGTGACGCACTCCTCTCAACAGCACCATCCGTGCCGTCCTTCTCATCACACGCCACGGCACCATCGCTCACCCCCACCACCTGGAGCGACTCCTCACCGTCGGCAGATGGACGATGTCTTTTTGGCCCGCGCCTCCCCAGTGTTTCTGTCAACAGACGATAGGCCGGGCCGCCCCTTCCTCGGTGCAGCGATTTTCTTGACTTTGCTGTCCTCGACTGCTGATCCAGCAGCCGCGTGTTTGGGGCTCCTTGTGGCGTTCTGCTGCGGCTTGCCGCTGGTGCTGCTGCTGCTGTCGATGCTGGCCATGACTGCGTCTGGGTCGAGCTTCTGCTGCTTGAGGACATCGCGGAGGGCGTGGGATAGCACCTTGTTCTTCTCTGTTTGTAGAGCGAGGAGGCCCCTGGTCTGTGCCAGCTGTGTCTGGAGGTATTCCATTTCGCTGTGGGCCTCTGTCTTGGCCTCGGTGACGGCATCATTGAGGGCCTGAAGGGTCGAGGTGTGGTGCTGCTTGATGGACGTCACAATGTCTGTGGCTCGATTCTGCAGACAGGAGACACGCGTGTGGGGAAGGAAATGCCCACTGATAGATGAGTGCTTACTCGTTCCTGCAGGCACCGTTGACACTCCTCCAGCTGCTGTTCGAGCTCCCGTATCCTCTCTGCCCACTTGCCCTCCTCCTTCTCCTTGAGCAGCGCCTGCCACTCATCATTGCAGCGGCGCTGAAACCACACAAACACACACACACACACACACACACGTCTATACATACGCACAGGCACTCTCCCACTGTGTCTCTTCCAGAATCTCACGCACTGTGTCTCTTCCAGAATCTCACGTTTGTGTCGTCTGCTTCTTTATGCGAAGCCTCGACCTGTTCCTGTGATTGCTTGCGTGTCCGCTCCAGCTCCTCTCTCAGTCTGTCGGCCTCTGCCTTTGCCCTGGCGACCTCCTGTGCTGCGTCATCGAGGCTCTGCAGTGCTGTGGTGTGTCTCTCCTCCCACTCGATGGATGCAGCCGCCTGCCAACCACGGAGCTCGCGCACAACAGCGTTGAGGCGATGCACCTCCTCCTCATGCTCGGCCTGAGGAGACGTGCACGAAGGTCGACTGCCCATTTGAGAGTGAATTGTTCTTACTTTCTCCCGTCCCAGCCTTATGTTCTCCTCTTTGAGGGACCTGGCATCCTTCTGAAGGTCCTTCAGTGAGGTCATTAGTGCCGTCTCGGCCTGGCGAAGGCACGTGGCACGATCGGTGGCCAGCCCTCTCTTCTCCAGCTCCTCCAAATCGCCGGTCTTCCACGTTCGCCCCCTCGCCCCACCCGTCACAGATGGCTTCTTGCGGTCGGATCTCCTGTCTGTTAGATACCCCTGAACACTTCCAACGTAGCGTCCGCGGTAGGGTGGCACCGCAGGCCCGCTCTTCCGAAGGAACCGCTGCGTCTGCTGTGTCACTACCTCTTCCAAACGGTCACGCAAGTCCATGTCAGCGGCACCACCATTCTCATGGGCAGCGACAGGAAGCGACACAAACGAAGATGAGGGAAGGGGCGCCCGGTCAGGCACATCTGGAGGGGCTGTGAGACATGAGACCGGGGTGCAGATGGACAGGTCGTCCTGAGTAGGAAATAACGACACCGCGGCCGGTGCAGGCGGTGGAGCCTCGTCCTCAGCCTTGGCGCCGGCCTTTGCGCGATGAGAGCGGGGCCCTTCCATCGCGCACCTTGCTCGCCGAGAGGAAGGAGGGAGGGGCGGACGACCAGACGGAGCAGACAGACGTGCTGGCTTCTCGATGGTAGCAGCAAAAGACTGCTCAGACGGGCACGCAGCATGAGCGGCAGAGGAAGCAGCTGCCATGTCGCCCTCTGTAGCTCCATCGCCTTCATTCAGGGCATCTTCGTCCTCCTCTGGTATCGGGGGGATCGGGGGAGGGCGGCGCTCACGAGCCGGGAAGGAGGGAACCACACCCAACCGACTCGGAAAGAGATCCGCTGCAGCAGCCATCTGCACAAACGACACACAAGAAAGGAGAAGATTACACGTCATTGCTGGCCAGTCAAGCCTCACCGAGCCTCCGTCAAGGCCGATCTTCTTCAGCTGCGACTCGATGGCTGCCCTGAGTTGGTCCTCACTGTCCATACCCGGCTCCGGCCAGCCGCTGTCCGGCTCCTCGTCACAGAACAGATCCTCTTCCGAATCGCTGTCTGTTCCCTCCTGCACTTGCCGGAGCAGCTCCTGAGTGCTCGGCAGGGAGTTGGCCCTCTCGTCGCTTCTTAGATTCTCGGAGCTGAGCTTGAAGCAGGAGGTTGCAGGAAGCATGTGGTCCAATGATTCGCTCTTCTGCATCGTGAATCGCGCTGAATGAGAGACTGCGGGTTTTGCCCCCGCCCCGCATGTGTTTACAATTGGCGTGACGCCGTGTGTCATGGCTTGTCGACCTTTCCACGGCATCGGAGGGCTTCTCCTTTCTCGTACTTCTCGACTCTTGCCGCCCCTCTTCTCGACGGTATCGGCCTTGCCGTTCCTTCACCCCCTGCACTGGCAGGTGTCCACTTCAGCGGCCTTCCACCAGCTGCGCCATTATCGCCATTGCATCACTAGCGACGAGAACAGCACATCGACCGGCTCTCCGGCGTCGGCGCGCGGTGCTCCCGAGGAGTGAGGAGTGGAGGCCAATCCCTGAGTTCAATGGCGTGTCGAAGAAGGGGGCAGAGGTCTCATCACACGGCTACGTGTGGAGAGCCAAAACAGGAGTGACGAAGGGGCGCTTGGAGTCGCATGGCTATTATCATACGACCATCACCGGGAAGATCTATCGCGTCCACCGACTTATAGCGGAGACCTTCCTGCAGGAGCAGAAGCAGCAGCTGATCAACCAACATGGCCAATCCATTGCCGAGAAACTCCACGTCGACCACATCGATGGCCGCAAGGACAACAATCATGTGTCGAACCTCCAGTGGCTGACGCCGCGGCAGCACGGTATCAAGACGCGTCGGACGCTTCCAAAGCCTCGCAACCTTCTGAGTTCTGCGAGAAAGGTGATTGCAACTCACAAATCGGGGGAGCAGCAGCAATTCGTCTCAGTTGGCGCAGCAGCAGAGCACTTCTGTGTGTGGTTCAAGGAGATCCTGTTCAGCATACAGCGCAAGCGAATGCCGATTCAGGGGTGGACCTTTAGCCATCCACGAGAGGACATGGCTGTCTTACCTGGGGAGAAGTTCCGCTCGATTACGTCTCTTCGCGATCTCTATAAGAAGCGACTGCCAATGGTTTCGAACATGGGGCGAATTCGGCACATCAACGGCCGCTTGACCGATGGCACGTTGGATTGTCTGGGGTACCGTCGCGTCAATCTGGGAGGGTACATGCTGGCGGTGCACAGATTGGTTGCAGAGGTGTTTCTGCACAAAGAGAAGAGGAGGCTGATAGAAGGGGGCAACGAGGAAGGCTACTTAGATGTCGACCACATCGATAGCAACCGATGTAACAGTCGGCTCGAGAATCTGCAGTGGGTCACCAAGTAAGCCACACGCTTGTATTCCGTGAGGGCATCTCATATCATTTTCCCGTTGATCCCTTTTTGGTGCGTTACAGGAAGGTGCATGCCCAGCTTACGGGCGAGCGCACAAGACAGAGAAGAGCGGCGCAGACAAGGAATAAGCAGATGCAGTGAAGACCATTGTGAATGTTTTGGTTTTCTATAAATTGCATCTGAGTGTCCGTACGAGTGCTGTCGGTCTATGTCAATCGCCCATAAATACAAGTACGTAGAAATGCCGTTGCGTAGCTGCATCATTCACGCAGCCCCACTACCTAGCCCACACACGTCTCGCCTCATCTTGACCGCCCATGACCAGCTGACGCATATGCTGTTCTTCAGACGCGCCGAGGTCACGAACCAAAGACGAGAAACGACTAGAAGGGTCACACAATAACACCTGCATGCACACAAAAACACACATGCTCAAGTAGGGGCGTGCGGGATTTCGCTGACCCGAGGTGTGTCGTGTTCGACGACGTCCCCTTCACTCATGACACACACCGAATCGCACAAAGCCACATCCTCCAGCCGATGGGCAACCACCACCACAGTAGTGCCCCTGCCTCTCAGGTGTGAGTGCACCAGCCTCTGTATGACCTCATTCGACTGCCGGTCGATGCGTGCGGTGGCCTCGTCGAGCACCAGCACACACGACCCCATGCAGATAGCACGCCCGATGGCCAGCAGCTGACGCTCTCCTGCTGACAGGTTGCACCCACGCGCACCGATAGGAGCTGCACAGACAGACATCCACCCATCTCTGTGTGTGTGGTGGGTGGTGGTGTGTGTACCGTTGAGTTGTCCCGGCATCTGTCTGACAGCGTCCTCCATGCCCACCAGCGACAGCACGTCCCACAGCTGGTCGTCAGTGGCAGCGGTCAAAGATGGGTCGAGGGTGTCGCGCACGCGGCCGGAGAAGAGTGTGGCGTCCTGTGGGATGAGTGTGATGGATGACCGCAGGGCAGCCAGCCTCATCTCGTCGGTTGACACACTGACGGACACACAAACACATTGCCAGAGACTGTGTGCATGAATGGACGATGTGCTGGGGCCCACCCGTTGAGGAATATGTTTCCATGGTAGGGAACTGCACGGATCAGTGCCAAGGCCAGCGTCGACTTGCCACTGCCCGTACGGCCACACACCTACACACACACAACCACCATGCTTTCGTGCGTGTGTATGTGGTTCAGGCAGACATACCCCCAGGGTGTCGCCCTTGTTGATGGCCAGCGACACGCCCTTGAGAGCTGGGGGCAGCCCCGGCCGATAGCGTGCAACTACCCGGTCCACCACCAGGGCATTGCCCGCCGACGGCTGCATCATGCTTGCGGGGCTGCCAAAACCCTCCATTTTACGCGGTTCCTGCTGAACAAACACATGACCACACACATCGACTGGACGTACGTCCAACGGTGCGTGCATGCGCACCTCTTCTTGTTCCAGCTCCATGTACTCCACAATCCGCTCGACGCTGCTGAAGTGGTTCTCCAGTGCGGTGGACGCTCGCACCCCAAACGACATCTTCATCGTGACTGTCAGAGCGTACGCCAACGCCAAACCCACATACCCTGCCGCATTGGGGCCGCGGGAGATGGAGGTGAAGAGGGCGGCGAAGAGGATCACAAACGCTCCGATGAGGTCCAGACGTACACCTGACACGCATGAAACACGCAGACAGACGAGCAGGGAATATGGAGTATGGGTCGGTCGGTCGGTCGATCGGTGGGTGGGTGGGTGAATGGGTGTAGGGAAAGGTCACCAAGCCATCTGTTGGTTGCGTCCCAGTTTAGCCGCGCCCGCAGGTTGGTGTCGATGAAGCTGAACTGTTTCTCGCGCATTACCGCCTGGATGCCCAGCGCACGGATGACCGGCAAACCCTCGACGGCCTCCTGGAAGTGAGAGAAGATCTGATCAGCAACACACGGGACACATTCACGTATGTACCCGGGAGGGTGTTATTGTTATGGATACACACATACAATACCGGCGATTTGGTGGCTGAGTCGATTCGCTTCAGCTCTCGAGCTGGCGTGCGGTAGAGGGACTGAATGCGCAGGTAGGCGTACGTCAGCGGCACCAGCGGCAACACAAACAGAGGCGCAGTGCCGACTATCACCTGGACTCAGACAAAGCAACACATGAACGAACGGGTGTGTGGTGGTCATTGTGTGTGCATCTGCTCACGAGGAGTGCGCTGATGACGCTGAGTGCAGCGTCGGTGAACGACGATATGGCGGGGGGCAGGGTGAGGTCCAGCACATCGATGTCAGACGAGAAGCGCGATGTAATTCGGCCGCTGGGCGTCGTCTGGAAAAAGGACAATGGCGCCTGCCACACACAGAGAGAAGATGCACATGCACCCAGACCTCCCGCCCCTCTCTCTCCCTGTCTCTCTTTCTTACCCCCATAATGCTTTTGAGCAGCTGTCCGTGCATGGTGACACTCGCACCCAGCCCCATCTCACACACGCCCCAAAACCGAAGGTAATTCGACCCAATGGTGACAACCGATATCACGGCGTACAGCACCAGATAGCCTCCCCACGCCTCGCGCGCACTTGACCAATGGGCCAGCAGCACCTCCTTGCCACATGCGAGCAGGTGCGCAAGAATGGCCAGCATCGTGGCCGCCACCACCAGCTGCACGCCACAAGCTTGGAGGTAGCGCGTGAAGACGCGCCGGTCCACGGAGCCCGAGAAAGTCTTGTCGGCGACTGTGGGTGGGGAGGTCTTTGTCTTTGCGTGGCTGTCTGCTGCCTTGTTCTGTCGTTGTGAGAGTGGCGGCTGCTGGGCTGTGTCGAACGAGGTGGTGCGTGCGGGGGTGCTGTCGGTGGTGGAGGTGGGCGACACCACACTATCCCCGTCTTGTTGCTCCTCATTGTCATCCTGTTGCTGCTGGTCTGCCGCTGCAGCTGCTGTTTTCATCATTCCTGGGAAGTCCACACCCGCAGCCAAGAGCGCCTGATGTCCGCAGCACACACACAGACAGACAGGCAATGAGTGCATTGACACGTCTGGGTGGACGTACCTGGTGTGTGCCGGTGTAAGTGACGGTCTGGTTGTCCAGCACGACGATCTGCTGTGCGTGAGGGAGGTAGTGCCGCTGGTGTGTGGCCAGCACCACCACTGACCTCCTCGCCAGCTCCAAGATGGCGTGACGGAACACGTGGCTGACCACATCCATCCATGTGCACACAGATACATCGACACCCATCATGACGTTGTAAGGACATCCAAATGTACCTGCCGACAGTCGCATCGACGGCTGCCAGCGGGTCGTCGAGCAGGGCTATGTCGCACTGAGAGTAGAGGGCACGCGCGAGGGCCAAGCGAGCCTTCTGGCCGCCACTGATGGTCAGCCCTGCACATATAGACACGCGCGTCTGTCTGCCGACGTGTGTGTGTTGTGCGCTTTGGTGGTACCTCTTTCGCCAATGATAGTGTGGTCGCCCTGCGGCCACTCGTCGATGTCGTCTTGCAGGCCGCACCCATGGATGCACCGCTCGTACCGCTCTCTGTCAATGGGGCCCGGCTGACCCATGGTGATGTTCTCCTGAACTAAATAATCAAGACACACACAAGCAACCAACACAGCAATGAGCCTGCATGGCATGCAGAGCAACCTTCTCACGCACCCACCCGTGGCGTTGAGTATCCACGGACTCTCCCCACAGAAAGCCACCCTCCGGCCATTCACGGCCACCGCCCCCTCCCTGTTGCTGCCATCCCCCCTCCCCTTGCCGAGCTCGTCCATGAGTCCCAACAACAGGCTGCTCTTGCCGCTGCCCACCCGCCCTATCACTAAGGTCAGCCCCCTCTCCGCGCGGAACGTCACACCCGACAAGACGCGCTCGCCGTTGACCGAGAATGACGCATTATCCACCACCACACACGGATCTTCTGTGGGCTCAGGCTGTGTCTTGACGTTTGTGGTGGTGGTGGTGGTGGACGTAGTGTCTTCGGGTGCTTCTTCATCATGTGTGTGGGTGTGGTTGTCCGTCGGTGCTTGTTGTGGCAGCGGCTGGTAGGTGTGTGGGAAGAGGCGACGGATGAGAGGGGACAAAGGGGAGGGGGGGATGGTCGGGAGGTCGGTCTGATCCGATGACGAGTCTGCAGAGGATACACACACACACATACAGGGGTTTTGTATTGACACACGCGCGTGTGTGTGTGCGTGTGTGTGGCAGCACGTGTACCGTCGTTTTCTTTCTCCTCTAGATTGAGGAACTGAGTTAGCCGGCCGATGGCCACACGGGCGTCAGCGAACAGTGATATGGCCTGCACATACACATACACACACACATACACATACACACACACAGACCCAACTGGATCGACAGGCACAGGTGAACATCTGCATTCATTGCCTGCTTCACCTTCGGCATGACGTGCAACGGGTGGCCGAGAGCGTTGAAGAGCGCCAGGGACGTGAAGGCGCGGGCTGGCGTCAGATCCCCACCTGCATACATACGTACGTACAGCCATCCACATCAATCAGCATGACATGTGTCCATGGCATGGCGCTGACCAAACATCTGTGTGTGTGTGTGTGTGTGTGACGGCCCCACCTGTGAGTGTGAAGAGGGCGAATGTCGACAGGGCCACCAAGATGGGACTGGCACGCATCAACACCTGGTTGTTGACGTCTAGCAGCAGCGCCCTCCGCACATTCGTCATTTCGTCAGTGCGCAGACGTGACACCTTTTGTTGGAATACGTCTTGGCATCCGCCGAATTTGATGGTCTGTATGCCCTCTACCACCTCCTTGAGCAGCGACAGACGCTCGTCAGCCACGTGCAACACCTGCACACATGTGGTCGGGACGGATGGAGGATGCACCGGCCGCCTGTGTGTGTGCGTGTGTCACAATAGCCACTTGTTTTCGGTATTTCTCAGCAGTCTTGGCAACCCAGGTCTCAGCCGGCACCAGCAGGGCTATCATCAAGACACCCACCAGTGCACACGACCTGCAGGGACACACAGGCACACACACATAGGTCGTGTCCGTGTGTGTCTGTGTCTGTGTGTGTGTGTGTGTGTTCTGTGTCCTCCGCCTACCCCATTAGTCTGTAGAGCATGACGATGGCCACGGTGGACGTCAGCGGCGCGGCCCATAGGTTGTGCACAAACACGATGAACTCTCGCAGACGCGCCGCATCCTTGGACTGCAGATTCACAAGCACTCCTGCATCAATTCAATTGTCAGCACACGTACGTGCATCCGCAGAACACATCAATGCTTGAGTATGTGTGTGGGTGTGGGTGGTGCCTACCGAGTTGTGCGGCTTCGATGGTGCCTTTTCTGATCCTGAGTGCCTTGTCGAAGACCATGCCGCTGACAATAGTCACCACATAGGCAGCCAACATAAACACACCGTGGATAAACTGACACACACACACACACACGTCGACAGATACATCCATTACACCTGCCCTCCTACCCTCTCACCTGCTGCAGTGCCAGCGACTGCACCACAGCCACACCAAACATCAGCACACACAACCCAATGCTGCCAAATAGACCCCCACCATCACCAGCCTCTCTGCCGGCCGCCTCCACCAGGGCATGCAGCAGCACCGGCGACAGCAACACACACACCTCCGCCACCAGCCGAAACATTCCCGCCAACACAAACTGCGGGCCGTACACCGCCACGAAGGCCCTCACGAGGGAGCGCTCTCTCCGCCAGGCTTGGGTGAATGGCTGGACGAGGGCGTGTGTGTGTAGGGAGCGCGGGAGTGAGAGCTGCGAGTGGGGCAGCTGGGAGGCATGCTTGATGACCGGGGAGAGCCTGACAGACAGACAGACAGACAGAAGGACACAAGCAGACAAGCAGAGAGGGAGGATGAATAGATCCGTGTGCGGCATGCTGCGTGAGTGCATCTATGCATCTGCCCACCACGTGAAGAGTATTTTGCTGCCGAATGTGGTCGGATCTTCAGGGCTGGGTCTCCATCGGTACCAGAAGTGCTGCGATGGATGCGGCAACTCGCCAGAAGATGACGACACATGCAAGGACGCCATCCTGCCGCTGCAACTGCCGGTTTTAAGAGGAAGCTCCTCCACCTCCTTCTCTCATTCAAGCTCGCAGTTCCTCCTTCGCGGCGAAGGATACCATTCATCCCGAGAGTGTCGGATGTCGTGGTGATGTGCACTCGATGCATCCGTGTGTATATGCAGGCATGGAACAGTCAGTCAGTGTACAGACATGGACCGACCCGCCTCCGTCGCCCCAGGCTAAGCTCTGCACACTCCTCTCCTTCCCTCTCCCCTCCCTCGCTCAGCCATCTCTTACCTGCCGACCTTCTTGCTACTCCCACCACCGCCACCGCCACCTCCGCGCACATCGTCGTTCCAGTAAAATGTGTTGCATCGACTGGCAGGGTGTGTTTCGTCACCCGACGGACGTGCGCACACCCAGAACAGCCGCCCCTTGTTGGCCCCCTCCTTGAGCACCCGCCGCTGGATCATGGCCTCGCCGTGCTTCTGACACACTGGGGCGTAGGGGGCCATGGCCTCGTAGTCGCGCTGCTCCTTCTTGCTGAGGTAGCTCACGTTGCCTGCATACACGCAGGAAGCCATGCATGCCGGATATGCTCATGTGTGGGTGGGTGGATGAAGGTGTGCAGACTGACCTAATTTGACTTGGCTTTTGCCCTGCTTGAGGCCCCAGAAGCTGCCGCCGCTTCCCCCCTGCTTTGTCTTAGCCTGGCCCTGTCCCGCCTTGCCACCCGTCAGCATCGACCGCAGATCACGCTGACGCAACACAGGCGGAGGGGCAGCAGGTGCTGCAGCCTTTTTCACACGCACACTCGCCGCACTGCCGCCGCCCTCCCCACTCGGACCGTCTTGCGTCAGGTCGATCGACTCATCCTGGCTTTGGCCATTCAACCCGGCACCCTCTGCAGTGCGCTTCTGCGGCAGCTCTTTCGCCGCAGCCGGTGCTGGTTTTGCCTTTGCAAAGGCGAAGATGTTGGCCTGCCGCGACCGTGCCTCTTGCCAGTTGCATGCACAAAAGGGCGGGGGGTCGGTGGGGGGGCCGGGCGGGTGTGGGGGGACGGTGGGGATGGCGAAGGTGGCTGAGATGGGGCAGTGGTCGGATCCGTGTATGTCTGGGTGGATGTCGCAGCCGCTGATGAGCGGAAGGAGGGAAGACGAGGCGATGATGTGGTCGGGACGGGCGCCGTAGTTGGTCAGCCGGGCGCCCTTGGACTGCACAATGCATAGCACAGAGTGGGTGGGTGGGTGGGTGCGATAGATAATGCAATGCAGCCAGCCATGTGTGTGTAGTGAGTGTGTGTACCCCACCCTACCTGGTCCCAGCATGTGTAGGCCTTCTCTCGCGTCGGGTGAAAATGGCGGAACACATCGACCAGCCCACACCGATCCATAAACGAGCTGCACACATGGCATCCACACAGCGGCCGCGGTTCACACACATAGACAGACAGTGATTGACCCACCCACATGTGTGGTTGTGTTGTCTGCTTACTTGAGCCAGCTTGCACCAGCATACGGCCAAACTTTGACCTTTTCCTCCTGCAGCTTGTCCCACTCCGCCGGCTCGTGAGCGTCGAGCTTGGAGGCCGTGATGTTGAGATCGCCGCACACCACCACCTGCCGACCGGCACGCACCAGCTCTCCCACACAGTACTCCAGACACCTACAGGCACCCATCACACACACCACCAAACACACCCACACACCCCCTCTTGCTTGGCTTGCCGCCTTTTTCTTCTCTTGCTCACACGTTGAAGACTTGTTTCTGTTCCATTCGCTGCTCGTCGGGCCGCGGCGTCGGTCCGTACAGATTGAACAACACGAACGTCCCATGGTCCGTCACCACACACCGCCCCTCCTTCTCAAGATGCGCCAGCGCCTCATCGAAGCTGATGCCGGCATCGCGCATCTCGTCAGCCACGCGGGCGAAGCGGGAGCTTGGTGACTCGTCGCGTGTGCTCGAGCTATGGCTATGGCCGGCTGCCGAGTCGAGTCTTCGCCGCTTGCATCGCTGGTCCACGGCTGCCGCTGTGAGTCCTTCCCATGCGTCGAGGGGAGTGGCCTTGCCGATGCGTGTGAATGTGCCGACGCCCGAGTAGCCGCCGTTGGGTGAGACGGACTTGTCGGCGAGGGAGAGGAAGGCGTGCCACCTTGTGGGCTTGCCGTAGTGGCCATCGACGTCACTCCTGGTCATCTTGCACTCCTGACACACCACACAACACACGCAGAGATACAGACACACACATGATTTGATGGGAGGCGGATCTGTGCATCTATCCATCTTGTGTGTTGTGACTGACCTGGAAGCAGAGTATGGAGGCCTCGTTGTGCCATGAGTCGAGGAAGGCAGCCAAATCCTTACGCTGAAAACCCTTCCTGCACACCACACAACACAATGAATGGCCAGTCACTCACTCTCATGTGTTGATTGGTTGTTTGTCATGCTTGCTGATCTGATGCTTGCCTGCTCAGAATGGCCGGCAGTGAGTTGACGTTGAACGACACAAGCCGCAGCCTCTCACACCTGCCCTCACAGTCTGCCGCAGCCGATACGCCGCCGCCACTGATCATCGGCAACTTCACAAAGAGATGCAGATGAGCGCTACGGGAACACTGGCCGAGCCGCCAACATACGCACCTCCTCACGCTCGCAGCACGCCCTTTTCTGCTTCTTCTTTTTGCGAGCTTTTTATCAAAAGCTCGCACTATGGGAAGGGTGGCGAACGGACAGCAGACGGTCAACACAGCTTTGCAGTCAAGAGAGAAGCGTCAGCAGCCCTTTGCCTGAGAGATCCAAGGGAAAAGGCGCGTTTCGGGGAAGTCAAGGAAGCAGCAGGCGGCCGGGCAGGATGAACATCTTTCGCTTCTGTGGTGACATGCTCCACCTGATGAGCATCCTCCTGCTGCTATGGAAGCTCAAAAAGAGCAAAAGCTGCGTCGGTAAGGAGATCCTTCTTTTAGGCACTCCACCACCAGCTGTGTGTTTGTGTATGTGTGCCGTCTTTGCTGGTGTGTTTGTGTGGTTGGCTGGCCTGCAGGCATCTCGTGTCGCATGCAGGAGTGCTATGCGATTGTCTTTTGTCTGCGCTACCTGGATCTTTTCTATCAGTTCATCTCTGTCTACAACACAGGTGCGCACAGGACGGCACGGCGGTTTCTCTCCTGTTTGGTGTGGTCCACTTGTGTGTGGGTGTGCCGCTGTTGCTCAGCGATGAAGGTGGTGTTCATCTCCAGCACTTTCTACCTCATCTTTCTCATGAGGTTCCAGCCTCCAGGTGCGTCCGTGTGGACCGATGGATCGACTACAAGAGAAGGGCGGGCATGTTCGTTCACCCATGGCCGGCCACCTTTGCCTCTGTGTGCGTGTGTATTGTGGTGTGGGTGCAGTAAGCGCGACGTACGACAGGACAGCGGACAGTTTCCCGTACGAGCAGTATCTGCTGGGGCCAGCGGCCGTCCTTGGGTTCATTTCGGCAGAGGAGTGGAGCATACCTGAGGTAGGTGTGTGCACACACAGCCGACTGTCTGTGTGGATAGATGTGTGTGTATGTATGTGTGTATATGTGTTGATTGATGTAGATCTTTTGGACGGCGTCCATATGGCTAGAGAGCGTCTCCATCCTCCCGCAGCTCATACTGCTGCAGCAACTAAGAGAAGTGAGCGTCGATCATGGCATGGCATGGCAGCGGCAGGCAGACCATTGGACACTAACGGGCGGCAGGCAGGCCATTGGACACTAACTCGACCTAACTCGGGCCATTCTGTTTAGGTCGAGAACTTGACGGCAGAGTTTGTGGCGACAATGGGCGCGTACAGGTTCTTCTATATACTCAACTGGGTCAGCCAGCACGGGAGCGGCCCACGGCAGCCACGGCACAGGCAAACCGAGCGCGATCGATCGACCCTTTGATTGTATCTCTCCCCACATCTGATCTGCCCGACTGACTTGTCAGATATATCGGTACTTCGCCGAAGGCTACGTCAACTGGATAGGATGGGTGAGCAACGGCGATCGATGGACGGATGGACGGCACACGGATGAAGATCTGCGTGTGTGTGGTCGGTCATTCATGTGTGTGTGTGTGTGTGTGTGTGTAGCTGGGTGGGATCGTGCAGACCGGCCTCTACGTCGACTTCTTTTACTATTACGCCATGAGGTGACCGACTGACTGAGAGGCACAAACAACCAGTGAATGATGTGCATGTGTCTGTCGTGTCTGTCGGTGGCTGCAGTAAGTGGTACGGGCAGAAGCTGGTACTGCCCCTCGCAACGTGACGACCGACACACACGGAGACCATCGGTCCACCCTCCCGTCCCCCCATCCCTCCCCGCCCCTCCACTCCTGTTGCCTGCGCTGCGCGGCCAATTCGTTCGTTCGATCCATGGAGCAAGCAGCCTGACTGCCTCTGCAGACATGTACAGACAGCTGTCTTTCAAGAGCGTGGCTTGGCATGGATTCTGTGTGGTGCGGTGTGGTGTGCTGACTGCGTGCATGACGGACAGAGCCGCTCAGACAGCGGCGTGGCGTGCCTCATGTATTTGGATCAAAAGTGGGGTAGGGCACGGCAAGAGCAGGCTAAAAATACTGCACCTTTCTCTACCGGCGCGGCGCGCCGTTGCGCAGCAGATCCAACCGAGATGGAGAGAGCTCGAGCCCGACGTCAGTCCGCATCGCCTGAGATCTCTATCATATCATCTGATTCGCCTCTGGGGGAGATCATGCACATCGACCCAAAACTCGGGCACACAATCGCATCTGTGTCTGTGGTGCTCGGCATCGCGCTTCATTCCTGGAAAGTCGGCATCGCGCTTCATCCCGGTCTCACCTGGAAACTCCTGGTCGCGTTAACGCTGTTCCTGCTGCTCACGGGGCTCAACGTACACGGCGTCGTCGGCTGGATGGAGAGGAAAGGGTTGAGGAAAGGGCTGGAGATGATGCGAATGGGCAAGAAGATGATGGCTGATGCGGCGGCTGACGGCCTTTTCGAACGGGCAGGCGGGGCAGAGTGCGCATCCAGCAACCAGACAGAAATCCTCGACGACACGGGCATCCCAGCTGTCATCCTCTTCATCACGACCCTGGCGCTTGCGGTGATGGAGGCCATCCCAGCTGTCATCCCTTTCGTGGTTTCCGAGTGGTTCCTTGAGCAGCCGACACAGGGCATCAAGTTGCTGGGGCTCCATATCAGCCCAGTGGTGGCGGCGCACTCGACTATCAGTTGTTTACTTATTGCTGCGGTCTGTGTTTTCCCTCGTGCTGCTACCGGAGGTGTCCCTAAGGGCCTGGCGGTGTTTCTAACCGGGGCTTATGTGCTGCTGACTGGGGCGTACGCTCACGGCATCATCCATGCTGGGACCGTCCTTGTGTCGTTCACCACGCTGATCAAGTCGGGCATCCTCTACGCCTTCGTCACAGACAATTGGCCTCTGGTGCTCGCGGGGCTTTTCATCCTGCTATCTGCGGTGCTGGGCAAGGAGCAAGCCGAGCCATCGCCCCAGCTGCCCCCTTCTGATGAGCAACAGGGTGCCAACAAAACGCCCGATGAGCCGCCGACGGCCAGACAGCTAGTCGGTTCCGTGATGTTTTCGCCAGCCGCGCGATGATGCCCGCCTTCATCATACAGACCGTGTGGAAACTTGTTTGGACTGTGTTCGGGTTTGATACTCCTTTGTGGTTCTTGATATTCGTTTGTGAAGCCATCCTGTTCTGGGAACTGATCCACCCATTGTCTGCCAACAGAGGCGGGGCGAAGATTTGGGGCTGGAAAGAGGTGCCGGCTTCGGCGATGTTGCTTGGCAGCTCCCCCTGTGCTATCTATATCATCATCTCGGTGGTGGGGCTCTCGGCGTTCGCGCCGGATCTGGCTTGGGACGGGCAGTGTCTGGGAGTCAGCATCGCCATTAGCCCAGCAGTGGTCCACTCGCTTGCTGGTCTTCTGTTGCTGGGAGGGATCGTCCATCAGCCCCGTGAGAAGAAGGTAGCCCTGGTTGCTGCCTGGGTGTACCTGCTGGTCACGGGGCTCTTTGCACACGGCATCATCCAGAAGCCCCCGGCCATTCAAACAGCCTTGCGCGCCTTTGCGACTGGTGCGGAGATTGAGTGGAACCGGATACAGGGGGTCGATATTGTGGGGATTCACTTCAGCCCAGCAGTCTTGCACACGCTTAGTGCTCTTACAGTCGTGGCAGTGGCCATCCTTCTGCCCGAACATGCAACCCAGCTTGCTGGATTCCTGGTTCCTTTGTTCCTGCACCTGTTGTGCACGGGCCTTCGCGCGCACGGCATCATCCAGTATCCTCCGGACCTTCAGGCCGCCTGGCGCGCCTTTCAGGCTCGTCTGGATCTCCCGTCAGTCGTTCCTGAGTCGCACAAGACAGCGGACGCCGAGCGCATGGGGGCCGCCAACATTGGGGCAGTTTTGGGTGGCCTGGCTGCTGCTGCGGAGTCCCTTTTCTCGACTATCGGCTGGGTGGTCGTGTTCTTCATGAGTTCTCCGCTGCTGCTGGCTTGGGTGGTCGTCGCTGTGGCTCTCATTTGGGGCGGTGGCGTGGGAGCGCTTTTCCTGTACCGGTCTCTCGTGTCGGTTGTCCGTTGGGCGGTGTATAAAGTCACCGAGAGGAGGAGGCTGCAGCGGGCGGAACAGCAGGCGGATCAGTGTATGGATGACCTCATACGGCAGGAGGAGCTGGCCAAGGCCACGCGACGGCCAGCGGACGGCAAGAAGAAGCCCAAGAAGGGGCCCAAGAGCTCCGTCAGTGCTGCGGCCGCCCAGCAAGAGGACAGCGACACAGAGGGAAGCCGCAGGGGGGTGCCTGGGACGGCCGGACGTTCAGCGGACAGGCAAGTGGAGCGTGAGCAAGGCGGCGGACTGGGCGTGGCGGGCGACAATGACGATAGAGGCTGGTTAAGTGTGCAGGGCCGTGGCCAACATCGGTCCCGTGGCCCCTCGTTGGCTCTGCCGTCTCGCCCGCCCGAGCCTGTGCCCTCCCACACACAGACACAGCCTTCACGTGGCTCCTCGCGGGCTCTCCCCCCTCCCTCGCCATACCCCCCTTCCGTCCCTATCAGTCACGAGCGGCTGCAGCGTGCACCACAGTCGACCAATCGCGGCCGGAGGGGCAGCCTGCCGCCTCTTGTGGAGCCCGTGGGCCAACCCAGGTGGGTCGGTGGGTGGGTGCACGGAGGATATGAAACAACACTGTGGTCACTGTGGTGCGTGTGTGTCGGGTCAGGAGCAGTGCCAGGGGCGGTGTGTCGAGTGGTGTGTCGTCGTCAAGCCAATCGTCACTCTCGCACAACACGTAATCACGCGGATGACCCCACAGTGACACATGCATATCTGAGTGGGGCAACTCATTGGCCACTGTTGTTGTGTTGTGTTGTGTCAGCTGGGGCCCCCTGACCACACCGTCCACTGGCGTTACTTCGGCCTCGAGCTCGTCTGCCACCCCATCCTCTGCCCAATCGCCCCCACTCACCCCTACCACCAGCACAGCCGCCACCACAAGCACCAGCAACGCCGGCACTGGCGGCTCGTGCATCGTGTGCTGTGACGACAGCTGCCGGGCGTCCATCAAGTTCATGCCATGCAAACACCTGGTCGTCTGCCAGCGGTGCTTCGCCGACATGAAGAGGGCTCACGAGGAGAAAGTGGCGGCGGTGAAGAGGCAGAACGCCCGGAGGGGCAGCAGAAGGACCTGCCGGTGTTCGCCTGCCCATGCTGCCGCAAGTAAGGACGATCGGGGAGGGAGGGAGGGACAGAAGACACACCATAGATCGCCATGCTGCCCTCTTGTCGTTTGTCTTGTTGCCTGGTGTAGGGTGATTGAGTTTGCCGGCACGAGGGAAGAAGTGTTGCGGTGGGTGCAGGAGGAGTACACTGCCGATGGGGGATAACTCACGATAGGATGGGATGGTGGGATGACACATAGGTAGCAGGCCATGGTTGAGCTTAGACACACCATGGTGAGGGAGGGAAGGAGGACATACAAAGAGGACAGATGATAGACAGGTTTGGTAGGTTGCTGGCTGGGGCCGCCTTCCAACGCTTTTCATATTGATCGCCAACCTGCGTGCATCCGTGTATACATGTCTGCATGTACGTGCGTTTGTGTGCGAGAAAGCCTTTTTTCGGACAGAACGACGTGCATTTGTGGCTGTCTGTGTGGCGTTGATCTTTGTTGACGTTTTTGTGGACTCTTTATCCATCTATGTGTTGCTGGATATGGCTCAAGATGACCGACATTGGACACCTTCTGGACGTACTCAACAGGGAGGTGCACGCACGCATCACACGCAATGGATATGTCTGTCATCGGCAAATACATACGTCTCATGTATGTATGTTCATCAAATTCGCGAAGGACTCAGTCACTCAATCACGTGAGCCAATGCGAGCATACGCCAGTTCCCCCTACCTACCTACCTACCTATTTTCCCTTCTCTCTGCCTATTCATGGATTGTGTAGACGTCCTGCACCCACCGCAGTACCTCCTGACGGCTGCCGGCGAACAGTATGGCACTGCACACACAGACAGTCAAACCCACCCACCCACACACGAGACATGTGTTCTCCGACTTGCCCCTCTTCCCC